TTTCCTACTTACCCCCTACTGAAGTGTTTTATCATTAATTTTACCATTCCTCTACGTTCCTCCAACAGCCTGAGAGAAGAAATCATCTTGGAGAAGGATCCCTACCAGTTCGTTCAATATTCCTCTTCTGAAGATGGGGAAGGAAAGAATTGAGGAGGGGAGAGGTTAAAGGTGGGGAATCTGGTTCATTCTACTCCATAAAATTGAGAAAGGGACAGGTCTGAAGACAGCTGGACTGAGTGGTCCCAAACAGAAATGGAAATAAAACCTACTCGGGTCCAACACCCATCTTTTCAGTGGGGTTCAACAAGGAGTGGGTGGTTTTATGCATAGGCCCAAGTGAGTAGTATTTATAAACAGAGGGCTCAAATATTCTAACAAGTCAGCTCAGGAAGCTGAGAAAATTTTGGCCAAACTTTTGAAATGTAGGTTAAACTGCATTTATGAGTCAGCTAAACCCATAGGGCTACTTAACATGCCTGTAGACCAGAGTTCTGAAGAGGTTGCATTCAGTGGTCAAATTCTTCAAGGCTTTCCCTCCTTGTTTTGGGGGATTTATCCAGTTGTCTCTCAAGTCACCTAACTTCCCAGTCCCATCTGAAGCAAGAGCTTCCCAGAAGTCTGTATAAGGACCACCAACTATCTAAGAAAAGGGTGGGAAAAGGATAGGAGACTGAGGTTTTAGACCTATCCAAAAGAACGAATCACTATTATGAGTCGAGGAAAGCAGAGTCAACTTATATTTGGAGGTTTTGAGCCGTTTTCAGCTACACCAAATACTGGTCACAAGGATGCTAGGGTAATACTAGTGGTAATGCATTCATGCTTCTTTTCTCAGAGTGTACTGGATAATTTGAAATACAGTATTTCTAGAGTTAGGAATTGGATGGAAAGAAAAGTGGGGACGCTTAGGAAAAGTGATGGCCCCAGACGAAATCAAGCTTAAGATCTCCAGGATAATTGTAATAGGAGAAATTTCAAGCAGAACAAAAAAACATAAATGAGACCGAGTTTGTGTACTCCTCCAAAGAACTGTGTATTTTTATGTAACTAATTCTTTCGTTAGGAGGTTGGAGGGTGAAGGCTTTGGAACACAAGAACAGCTGGGTCACTTTTTTCTTTCCTCGGGGTCTTGGCACGTGTTAACTTGTGCGGGCTTAAACACGCATTAAAGAGAAAATCGTCTTTTTTTTTCTGGAAAATGGAACAAAGCAACGCCTTTCCAATCACATTTCAGAAACATAATCTGAAACAACAAATTACCCTCCTCGCGCATTTCCAGCCAGCATTCTGCCTTCTCTGTTTATATTATGACTTTTCTGTTTGCAATTATTTTTATTTTAATTTTATGTCACTTTAACATAAACCAGAGCATTTTCTTTTAATGTTTTGTACACAACATGCTCTTTTTGATAAGATGTTCTTTCCTATTCTCTTTGAGTTTTCCTTTCCGTGTTTGGAGTTCTGTATCAGGCGTTTCTAATATTTCTCCCTTTTTTTAAGGACTTGTCCCTGTCTTGCTTTATTTGTTTGTGTGAAATTTAGTTTGAAAGGAGATCAGAGAGAGCAGGAGGGGTTTGTAATAAGAGAATGACCAAATGACCCAAAGGCTGATTATATGTCATTAACTGGAGACTTGGTGTATCCAAATTACCAAAAAGACCTCACTCAGCCAGATCCATTACCTTTGGATGCATGCGAAGATAGTGGGATATATACAACTACAGGATAAGGAGCCCGGTGCAATTGTCAACAAACCAGTCACAAGATTTTCTCTTAGAAAGCTGCCTTTAAAAATTGAACTCTGTGGTTCCGTGGGAAAAGTTTATTAGAATCTGACGCTGCAGAAACAGGTAGAGGGTTCTGCCCGCCCCTGCCCTCACACCAACCCGCTCTCCCCCGCATTAACATTTACATAACTAACATTTTTGTGTTGTGTCGTTGGAAGCAAAATTACAGGTAATTGTCTAAGCTCCAGAGAATATTTGGAAATCAAACCAGGCTGCTTTTGATCTGTGCACGCTGCTAAACCCAAACCTCGTAAAAAATCGAGGTTTTCCATTAATATTGACAATAAAAGTGTTTCTTTTTGTTAACTTGAAACCTAACAACCCTGTCTAAAGTCGTTTTTCTGTACAGGAAGTCCCCTATAACGTCCAAGAAAAAAAATGTTTGCAAGAAAACTGTCCGTAGAAGTCCCATCCACGTGGAGTTACAAAGAAGGCTGCAAAACACGATTCCCCAGGACTGCAGGCAATACTTGGGAGCTAGAAATGTTAAGTGCGACCCCGAGTTCGGGAGTTAGAAGCATGCTGGCTCTGTTATTCAGGTTCTTGCAAGGCTCTTCCTTTTAAGGTGTACTTCTCTTCTAAATGAATATTGCCAAGTAGTCTGCACCGAAATCTAATTGAAACCCGCTACTTTAGACAGATAAACGGTGTGTTTGCAAAATCACAACTACTTCCTCAATCAAACTTCGAGTAGTTTCCTCCTGACAAGAGGTAAATGTTGCCCTTGCTGGTATCGTGCTTCAAAGCAGTGTGGGCAAGCCCTTGAAGGGTCTAAGTAGCAAGAAGGTCAGTTTACTTCAGTTACATTTTCATTCGCTATGGAGAGTACCTACAGAGGTGTAGGGAAGATTAGATTGCTTACACCTTGTCAAAGTCAGTGTAGACCCATCCTCTCTGGTCGCCACGGGCCTTATTTTCCCTAGCACAAACGAAAGAACTTCTCTCTAAAAAAGTTCTCCCCCTAGCAAAACTTTGTGTTTAGAATTATCTGGTGGTCTAATTTTTAGCATTCATAGAAGGTTGATATCTTCAGAAGGAGAATTAACATTAAGATAATTCTTTGATGGGTTTTTTTTTCATTTTAAATAACGAATTCATTGCTTCTCATTTTGGCACATTCAGCTTGAGTTTCTATGACAGGCTGAGTTCCACAAATCCAAACGCTGCGGGAAAGCACAGTAGGAGCCAAGACAGAGCTCAGAGGTAATCTGGAGGAAAGGAATTTAAACTCAAAGTAATCGATGACTCCTATAATGAGTTTAAAGTTTTTAGAAACAGAAACGAATTGAAGGACCTACGTCTGCCCCTCCCCCCCCCGCCAGTCTATCACTGCCACTGCCACCCACCCAAGGAAAGCTTCATCTCTAGGGACAAGTCAGAACACTGGGGAAAGGAGGAAGGACGGGCCTTTCTACTATTACTCCAGTCTTACCCATCCCCACCCCCAAAGCACTCCCATTCTCCCACTCAGAATCAAGTTTAGACATTTGTGGGACTTAGGTACCTTACAAAAATTACTCCTCCCCATCAGCAGAAAACCTTGGTTTGAAAACTGCGCCCCCTATACGTAACTGTTGAACATAAGTTTTGAGTCTAGCGTAGGAGACTTGACTTAACACAAAGTAAAAATCCAGGTGTCAGTTGGCAGTGAAATTTTCTGTTATTAAAATTACATGCATTTTAAAAGTCATATAAAATGGCATTCGTCTTTATGCTCCTCTGCCTGCTGAGCCCTAGCCACTTACATAACTTACCTACCTCTAGTCTTTGTTCTAACATACACTCATCCCATTCTCCAAATATAGGAGGGAAAAAAGCTATCTTGTTTAAAATGGGACAAACCCATGCCAGCTACATAAATTACCCCCTCCCAATCTTGAAAAAGAGGCCTAATTCTTAGAGTGGTAGTAAAAAGATAACAAAATCAAACTAGTTTAGTTTTTACCGATGATCATTTCCAGAAAGAAAGAAAGAAAGAGAGTGAGAGAGGAGGAAGGAAGGAAGGAAGGAAGGAAGGAAGGAAGGAAGGAAGGAAGGAAGGAAGAGAAAGAAAGAAAGACGGGGAAAAAACATCTAGTGCAGAGATGATAACTAGCTTTTCTTCAGAGTAAAGTTTTCACTGTTTCAAATTTCCTAAAAGTCTTAGAACCATAATGTTGGCATTTAGTAGATATTAAATCAATTTTCACAAGAGAGAGAAGAGAAAAGAAAGAGGCAGAGAAGGACCTAGTTGGTAAGCAACCAGCTGAGTGGTTCCATGTCACCTGAGCAATGTTTCTGAAGCCCGAAGCCCAAATGTCCCATCTCTTTACAGAACAGTTTGTGTTCTTCACACAGTTCCCCACTTTCATGCTTAATCAGAGGAGTTTCTGAGAGCCCATCTTATCCTAAGACATTATGGAAGCTTAAAAGCAAGGTCAAAGTCATTTCTCATGTGACAGTTTGGAAAATGTGAAATTGGATTTGAAAAAGATGACAAAGGAAATTGAGATGTAATCCCGTAAACACAAAACATGAATTTATGGTCCTTCTGGCCTGATTCTTTTGATTCCTCTTTCTGGTCCAGTTTATTTTGAGTTATCCTGCACAAAACATAAGATAGAGACAGTGCTTTGCTTTGAATCATAAATACAAGAAAAGGAGCTCTATTTACACACACACATACACACACACAACAAGTTTCAGCTTTTCTTTAAAATATAAAGATTGTATCTAACTGATTTTTTTTAAGAAATAGTATCCTACAAAGACCAACTTCTTACGATGTTCAGCCTCTCCCAACACATTTTGAACTCTTCTATGTATGTAGGTGGATTGAAAAAGAAACAAGTAAAGTGGGCTCAAATAAAAGTTTGTGCCTATTTGTTGGGGAGGAGGAGAGGAACAACAATTACTTGGTCTACTAGATGAGCTGTAATGAAGACAATTATTCTATAATAATAAAAACCTATTGAAAGCTATAGCTGATTCTTGGGGATTCAGGTTCTAGTGCAGAGGCTGCAGGAAATGATGGGAAGTTAGATAGGGCATTTACTGTCTCTGTTAGCTGAGGGATTAGAGAGAAAGAGAAGATTCTTCAAGGTACCTTTAGACTGTACCTTCCCTAAGACTGAGACACTAAGCATTCTAGCTAAACCTTCTAGCTAAACTTCCCAGTCCAATACCAGTCAGCCTTAAGGAGCAATTCTCACTATTGTGCCATTTCTTGCCTGATTCAGATGCATCAAAGATGGCAGTCTTCCTCCATATTTCTGGTGACTGTGGTTTGGTGGGAGAAGGTGGATACTGGGACAATAACTGCTATGAAGTAATGCTTCACTGCAACAACAAAAAGAAAGAGGGAAGAGTTTTTTTTTAATTTCAGACAGAAGCACCCCTCCTCCTCTGTTTCTCTATCCTTGCTGCCCACCTCACCACCACCGTCTTCATGCCCTAACCATTAAGTGCTGGCATATCCACTTGGGGAGGTGAGTACCTAGGCCATCTGAACTGGAAACATAGGTAATAGAATTAGCTTCATCTTCACAGTGGGATCAACACCTTACAGAAAAATTTTGAAAAGGGAAGAGGGTGGGCAGACAGATTTTTATGATGAAGAAGAAGAAGAAGAAGAAGAAGAAGAAGAAGAAGAAGAAGAAGAAGAAGAAGAAGAAGAAGAAGAAGAAGAAGAAGGGAGAAGGCAAAGAAAAACCTTTTACTTCCTCTCTCAATCTAGGTCTTCACAGGAATTGCAGCAAAGATAATACTTCGAAGCCTAAATTTAATCAATTAATTTAGTTGAGTACACAAAAATCTTTGCTTGATTTTTTCCCCCCTATTTCATTCAACTTGATGGATTCATTGAGGCTGAAGAATCTAGGTCTAGGTTTCAAAAGTCTCTGAGACACTGGAATCCTAAGACCCTTTGGTACCACCTATAATTAAACTCTAATGATGCTGTCCTGGAGTATTGATGTTCAGATTAACATCTCCAGTATCTTTTATTACTTTTTCTCTGCCTCATGTTTTCCATTTCTTTCATCACTTGAGATCCTATCTGCGCAGTGGTAGTGGTTTACCACAGTTTTTTTTCTCAGTTAAAAATAAAGTCAGAAAAACTGTATAATGGAAAGCTCCCGAGGCTTTGCTCTTAAGAGTAAATTGTGTCCCTGTGGCCAAAGCGGCCTCTCTAACCCATTTCGGCCTCAGCAAAACAGGGTTTCTACCTCCTCTTCACCTCAAAAACTACATACAACCAGCCAGAAAGTTGCTCAGTATTCGACTTTTCCTCAATTCTCATCTGCTCCTGGCCCAATTCAAACAACATCTTGCTTCATCTACCTGCTTGTCTACCCTGGATGTGTTTTTATAAACACAGACATTTTAAGAAATATATCAGATGTCAATCCGTGGAAGGCCTAGTATTTATGCATTTGGTGTTTGCCTCTCCTGGGAACCAATACACAATACGGGCTGACTACACTACCAGCTTTGTTCCCTTGATGAGGCAACTGGAAACCAGAGAGACCTCTTTGGGTGCAAGCCTTTTAAAGAGTATTTACATCTTAAAGACCGAACTGCAGACCTGCCTAGGTTGTGACTGAGTTTGGTTTTGGATTTGGAGTATTACTTTTCTTTCCCTTTTTCTATTTTTTTGTGGGGGGGGTAGTGGGAAAGTGTGGGAGAATATGGGTTCCCAGGAAGAACCTGGTTTCACGTATACATAATCTCTCTACTTTTAGGCCCTATAATTTGGACTTCTAGGAAAGTCTGGCCCTCAGGGTAAGTGGGCGTTTATGCAAATACGCATTCAGCTTCTAGGCCTTCCCCGCGAGCGTGAGTTTATTCTCTTTGCTTAGAATCAAACCAGCCAAGTGAAACCCTAGATATCTTCCCTGGCATTATCCGATGCCCATGGAAAGTGATCTGGAGGTGGTGGCCCCTTCCTTTCGATGCTTAAGTGGAAGTCAAATCAGCTGGAAACACAGCGCCGTGCCGGAGTAGGTAGGGTGAACCTAAACCCCCGGACAGAGTCATCACGGCGCCCTAGCTTTCAGCTCGGCCAGCTTCGCCATGAGGGTTCCTCGTTTTGGTAGGAAAATAGGTCGCACCAACGATAATAGTGTTCTCTGAGATCTCTGCAGCTCTACAGTAATGACATTATAAGGTCATTGTGGATTGAATAAATTAATAAAATTCCTTATTCCAGTGGGTCATCATTACCGAGAAAAGCATTTGTCTACCCCAGCGCCAGTTCTTCCGTTATTTACCCACCAAGATATCCCAAGTCTGCCCTTCATGGATCTCCCAACGACATCGCCTTTCTCTCTGAGCCTTGGCAGAACTTGGGTTCAGAGTTTCTTTGTCTTGCTCCAGCCTCTCTCCCTGGCTCTCTCCCATTTATGGCTCGCACGCTCCTGTTGACACCCTTGTCCGAACAGAACTATATTGTACTGGATTCTAATATACACCAAATCCAAGTCTTCGCCTGTCTCGGAGCCAAGCCAACCCAGGACTGGTATTAGCTATTTTCACTGCTGTTATCCTGTTCCTTTTTAAAAGATGACCACGGAATCTTGGCTCAAGGTGCCCTCCAGCAAGCTACCCGTGAGTTCAGTGAATTAGAACTGGAGAGCCATTTTCCCGTTATGATTCGTCTGAGATCACCCAGCCTAAATATCCAAACATCTACTGGCTCTCCTCCGGCCTGGCTGTTAAACTGGGGTTTAATGATTCCCCTTCGATAACTAAACCTGGTTTCCACAGATGCCTGCTTTTATGAGTGAGACAGGAATGCAGAGATATATTTATATGTTTGTTCGTAAAAACTGGAAAATAAGCTCTGAACACGCTGTAAAAAATATTCAGTTACTCACCAAACAGGCTAGTTAAACTGGCAGAAAACCGATATCGTCCACACCACTGATTCCGGGAGAACGAGACGCCGGGTTTTTAACATTCCGCAAGCTGGAGGAAACCTATTTGGGGGTCTTGGTGTCCCCTGCAAGAAGAGTGACAATCGTTACATTAACCATAACCCTAATCAAAAACTAGGATGTCACAACCTTTTGACTCCGCAGTCAGTCTTTGACAGCGATGCTCACAAAATTACCCTTTCCTTTCAAGACTTTAGCTTAATTAATGGGAGATTGGTTAGGAAAGGAGCTACTCTGTTAGAAGCTACTCTGTCAGTAGCCTCCTCCCCAAGTAAAGCCCTCCCTTAACTGCAGCTCTAGGCTTCGAGACGAGAAAGACCGTTCCTAGCGGCATCGGTTGTATGCATATGCATGTATAATACACATGAAAGCATCAATAAAAGCATAAACTGAGCTTGGTCCTGGGGCCGGCACAAAACCGCTACTGTGCTACTCCAGTGACAGCAGGAAAAATGCATGGAGAGATCCCCTTTTATTTTTTTAATCCATTTTTTAAAAAGCCCTAAAAATCAGTACCTGTTCTGTGTTCTTAATCAGAAAGTAGTAATAATGACAATAAATGTAAATGATACTATACCTGGCTTGAGAAGATCCGGTTATTGAAGAAGATTTTTAAGTTTTGTTTTGGTTTTGTGTTTTTTTAAAATAGTAAAGCATCTGCTAAACTCTTGCATTAACCATTGGCTGATTAAAAAAAAAAGTTTAAAAAAATCCTCCTTCGTTTTAATTATCTTATGGATATGAAAGGGTAGCCAATCCTAAAAGAGGACTTCAGCAATTAGCAACGTGAACATCAAAAAGTTTTATTGCGAAGGGCCCAAGGCACCGCCCCTGCCTCGCCGCTATTGGTGTGGACAGCCTCTGACGACATATATTAACCCGAGCTGCCCTAAAGATGTAGCTGTACATGGAGTTCTTGCTGGGAAAATCGGCTTGTTCCCGGCACGGCCACCAGCCCAGGGAAGTCACCATCGAAACTCTCACTGCTGCCGCCACCGCCTCTGCTTCTGCGGATCGCTAGCTCGACCTACCAGCCAGACAATCCAGGCCCAGGCAGCCAGAATCAAGTGCCCGGCCTCCGGGAGGAGCGGTTGAGCCCCCGGCGCCTTCCGAGCCCGAGGACTCAAGAAAGGGGCCAAAGAAAATGGATGCACTGAGACTGCTCTGAAAGGCCACGGATCCAAACAGGCAGAAGAGGAACGGGGAACGAGTTTCTCGCGGGCAAAAGTCACACTCAGGGACAGACAGAAACAAATAAACCCCCTCACCCCCAAAGCATTAAAGAAAAAAAGATCCAAGAATCAAACTTGGGGTAGGGGGGGGGTCGGGTAGGGGGGAGGGAAGAGGGAAGAAGAGAGGGGGGAGGGGAGAATCGAATGGAGGTGATTTCACTGTGACTGGTAGATCCCCCTCCCGTGGCCTCTGAGACTCGGCCAGTGCAGCCAGGCTCCTCTCCCCAGAGTCTCTGTGCCTCCCTCAGGGCTGCGCTGCGGACCCTACAGGATCCAGATCAAGAAAGTGGTCCGGCGCTCAGTGGAGGGGGGAAAGGGGGAGAGGAACTGCCTTTCCTGCTTGCCCCATCTGAGTCAGGGGCAACCTGATAAATTCTTTCGTCCCCTGCTGCTGCTGCTGCTGCTGCTGTTTTACCGCCGCCTCGGTAACTATTTGAGATTTGGAAACCCAAGGCCCCAGAGACACTTTGGGAGGAGAACAAGGACTTTTGTATGAGCACGAAAGGACAACCTTTCCACACTGCAGCAGCCACAACCGCCTCGGTTAGACAGGAAGGAACAGGAGGAGGAGGCAGAGAAGACGAAGAAGGAGAAAGCCTGGCTGCGCATCAGTGACCACGCCGGGAATTTGGCCAGCTCTATGGCTAGCCTCAGGCTGGACCAGTGCTGCTGAAGCCCCTCGGCGGGCCTGCCGGGGCTGGGGGGAGGGGAGGGGGTGCTGCTGCCGCCACTACCGCTGCGAGGTAGGGGAGGCTGGGGGGTGGGGGGGTGGGACGGGGTGGAGGAGGAAGAGGAGAGAGGAGGCAGCAGCTCCTGGCCCCAACCCCCGGGTGCAACCAGTAGGCTCTAGGGCCTTGTGGTTGAGGACACCGTGGGACGCTAGGTTGGGGCCCAGAGTGCGAAATGAGTCTCGTGGGAGGCTTCCCCCACCACCCGGTGGTGCACCATGAGGGTTACCCCTTCGCCGCTGCTGCTGCTGCGGCTGCCGCGGCCGCCGCCAGCCGCTGTGGCCACGAGGAGAACCCCTACTTCCACGGCTGGCTCATCAGCCACCCGGAGATGTCTCCCCCTGATTACAGCATGGCACTATCCTATAGCCCCGAGTATGCTAACGGCGCGGCAGGGCTCGACCACTCCCATTATGGGGGAGTGCCACCTGGGAGCGGGCCTCCGGGCCTCGGGGGGGCCCCGTCCGGTGAAGCGCCGGGGTACCGCCAACCGCAAAGAGAGGCGCAGGACTCAGAGCATCAACAGCGCCTTCGCAGAGCTGCGGGAATGCATCCCCAACGTGCCCGCGGACACCAAGCTGTCCAAGATCAAGACCCTCCGCTTGGCTACCAGCTACATCGCCTACCTCATGGACCTGCTGGCAAAGGACGACCAGAACGGGGAGGCGGAGGCCTTTAAGGCAGAAATCAAGAAGACAGATGTGAAGGAGGAAAAGAGGAAGAAGGAGCTGGTCAGTAACTGTAGGAGTGGGGGAGGAGGAGGAGAGGGAGGAGAGATGGGGGAGGGGTGGCTACTTTACTGCCGGCAGAAGGCCTTATCAGGACTGAAAATAACGATATTCCCAATTCTTCTATTATTTTCACACGTTTCTCTGTGGAAGGAGGAAGAAGTCCTCCACCTTTACACGTCTCTGCAGTAGAGAAAGCTTCATTCCTGCTGACTCAACTCCTCAGGCCAGATTGCTAGTACCCGCAGAAATAGTCTTCATTAAACACCTATAAGCAATAATAGAGTTTTGGTATCAACGTGTTTTATTAGCTAAGGAGGGGACTCATAATATGAGAGGAATTTGGAGGCAGGCTACTAAGGTTTTGACTTGGAAGTTGCTTGTTGTTGTTTTTACCTTCAAGTATTCATTTAAAAATGCAATACAAAGCCCTTAAGTCCCTTCAGGATTTAATAATGGTTGCAAGGCCGAGTTAACTGCCTCACAAGAACACATTATAAAGCAGAGACATCTCTTTAGCTAACCCCCGCCTCCTACCCGCCAAAATAAATAAATAAATAAAGTCTACCCATTTTCACTAACTGCCACATTGCATCCCTTATTTTTGTCTCGGATTCGGCCATTCCTTCTGTTCCCCTAAATTGAATCCCTTAGAAATCCCCAGATCAACTTAATTTGCCACGCCAACCATGTGAGTAACGGGGTTTGGTTTTTTTTTTCAATGAAAATAATTCCATTCCCATGATTTGGGGGTCTTAAGAGCTTTGTTGTTGTATTAACCAAAAATTAGAGAGAGAAGGAGGGAAAGTCCAACACTGTGTTTGGTGAGGCCGAAGTCTAAAAGAATGTTTAAAGGCACCATAGCCTCACATCCCATGCTTGACCAGCAGGGAAATACTGGATTCATGTTCCCCAGTTGGGTATAATTCCTGGGCATGTGTGGTTTTATTTGAATCCAATTATAAATTTTAATTTGAGACACAACAATAAATATTGTTGTTCACATTATGGCTCTTGCTCAATAGTAAGAATTTTTTAAACCATTATCAGGATTCTCTCTTTTTCCTATGAACAAGTATGTCTTGATTGTTCAGAAGAGAATCTTTAGAATAATCCCACTGACCCGTTTTCTTCCCTGCAGGCCGAGAGTGCCTCAGCCTTTGCTAACTAGTAAGATCCCAAGAGCGTGGATAAATACTGCCCATTCGAGATTTCATGCAATCCACCGTATGTCTGAGTAGTATAGAGACTAACATTAATAGTTATTGGATGACAGAAAGACCCTTGGAATCGAGTTATCTGAGGGTCCTTGGGCCAACCAGAAAACCCAAGCCAGAAAAGAAGAGCCGGAGGCCAAGAATTAGGCAGTGTGTGGCTTTGAAGCCGGGAAGTCTTTGCCCAAATCTTCCCCTGCACCGAAAGTTTTCAGTTGCCATTAAAAACATCCCAAAACAGAGTCCCCCCCACCCTACCCCCCCCCAAGAGGCACTCCACCCCCACCCAAGGTACACATCTGGCATAAGGGAAAAGGCCCCCAGCTTTGCTATAAAATACTTTAAAACAGGCGGTGGTTTTATAAACTTTCCGATGCAGGAGGGTTAGCATTGCAGACAGGAGGAGGCCTAGCTCTGCCTGAGCCAGAGCCGCAGAGATCTTTGTAGTTTAGTTTGTCTCCTCTGGCCCTGGCTGAGCTTTTTGCTGTCTCCCTCCCCCATCCTGGCCCCTTCTTGCTATTTCCAATAAGGTGGGATGCAATAGGGCTATGGAAGGAAATCACATCTCATCTCTTCTTTCTCCCTTGCTTCCTCTCTGCCCAGAATGAAATCTTGAAAAGCACAGTGAGCAGCAACGATAAGAAAACCAAAGGCAGGACGGGCTGGCCACAGCATGTCTGGGCCCTGGAGCTCAAGCAGTGAAGAAAAAGAGAGGAAAAAAAAGAGAAAGAGGGGAGAAGAAGAAGGAAGGAAGAGTCCCTCGGCTGGACTTGAATAGACTCAAGGAAAACCTCTCCAGGAGGCTCTGCAGACATCTGCTCCGAGGACTTTTTGTATTTGGAATCAGCCAGTTTATTTATGTGCAATTTCCCTCCCCTCTCTCCTGTTCCCCCTTTTGAAGCATCCTATCCCCATCCCCTCCTTTTAAAAAATGGATATTTGAAGAAAAGCATTCCATATTTTAATATGAAGAGGAAACTCCAGCGTGGTAAGGGGTTCTAACGTCTCATAGGTTTGATTTGTGTTTGGGTTTTTGTTGTTGTTGTTGTTGTTGTTGTTTTGTTTCTGTTTTGTTATTTTTTTTAAGAGTGTGTGTCCGTGTGTGAATGTTCCTTTTCTGCCTGTACAGGACACTCAGTATTGCAACTCAAGCAACCCAGCTAAAAGACTCCTGACATCAGTGTGTATGTGAAGTGTATCTTTAATACTTGGCCTTTTGGATATAAATATTTCTGGGGATGACAAAGTTATATTTCAAAGCAGAAATGGGGCCACTAATGTTATTCCGTTGGTTCAGTATGCAGTGTTGCCATTTTATTAGTGGGCTTTCCTTATTTGAAGATATTCCCAACAGCTACTTGTGTTGTGCACTTCCGTCCTCTAAAAAGAATTAGTGGAGTTTAATTAATATTGAAGGTGTAAACGTTGTAAGTATTCAATAAACCACTGTGTGTTTTTTTACAAAAAAAAATCTTTTTATGTTTTATACCTCAAAGTGTTTTGAAAACAAAATTGTTATTCTTGTTTTCATACTATTTAAAAGATTGAGAAGTAAACTAAGTTATAAAGATTGCCTCTAACTTTATTTTAAAGAAGTCACTAATTAAAACCAATCCACATATATAATACCCACCCACCCACCTCTGGACCCTCTGGACTACAGCCAGAGGGGCTGGTGAGAGCAGTCTTAAGCTCTAAAGGCCATAGGGTTTTCCAGGTCAGCTCCGAGTAATCTTTTGGATGCACGGCTTTAAATGTCAGGCAAGAGAGTGATCAGGAATCCCTGGTTAGCTCAAAAGGTGGGAGTATCCATAGGTCTTCCAGGAAGATGAAATAGCCTTTTCTAGAGCTTTGCCATCGGATGATGGCTATGTGCATGTTCAGGATTTGACCTGCATGGCTCTCCCCTCTTATTACATTGACGAAATTTGTTTGGAGTGTTTTGTTTTCTTGGGGATAGGGTACATATTAAAAGTATGTTAGGGGACAGAGAGAGAGAGAGAGACAGAGACAGAGGGAGGCAGAAAGAGGGAGAGAGAGAGAGAGAGAGAGAGAGAGAGAGAGAGAGAGAGAGAGAGAGAGAGAGAGAGAGAGAGAGAGAGAGAGAGAGATAAGGAGACAAAAGGAGAAAAAGAAAGGAGACATGGGGGTAAAAAGCTGCCTGCAGTCTGTATCTCAGCCTCTCAAATCTGTTCGAGCTATTGTACCAGAGGTGGAAGGGGGTTTTAGAGTAATGTCCGTGATTAGGTAACAGTTAATTTTATGTCAAGTTAAAAATCCCGAACAAGACCAGGGATTTAAGTTGGGGGTAGGGGTGGACGCAGAATGTTAGATTTACAGTGAGCTACAGGGAAATCTATATGAACTTTTGGTGAATCTAAGAATTCTCCTGGGCTGCAGACGGTCAAAACGAAGGCAACATCTTCCCTCTCCACTCCCAGCTGCTCTCCCTCAGTCCCTAGCTTCGGTGGACTTCTCTCCTTTGCAGTGATTTTGTGTGCCTTCTCCGTCCCCCGCCCTCCACACACACACAGTCTTTGGTCAGAAGGGCTGGAAGAAAATTCATTTTGCCTCAAGCCGAGACCAAGGTTTGGCCTTGAGCGGGGTGTGTGAATGAACTAAATCCTAAATAATGGAAGACACTTAAGGGTCATAAAGGACTTTGCAGTAAGCTTGAAAGTGGTGGTGTGGAGAGGGAGTGGGAATGTTGGGGAGAAAGGTGAAAAGTATTGAAAAGCGGTTTGTTCAGGAAACGTGCAAGTATATAAATCCGGTACTTGGCAAAGCTTGCTAGAGAGTTTGCATCTTGCCTGAAAACCTCGGAGTGATGTTCTCGCCTCGAACCTCCGGGGTAGTCAACTGGCTCACGAACAATCCATCAAAACCAGTGGACTGGATGGCTCTACCCTATTTTGCCTGTCGTCCTTCCCCACACTGTGGCTCGAGAAGGTCCTGAGCCAGGGAAAAGGGCACATTTGCAAGGGCTCGTTTAAAAAAAAAAAAAAGATAAGAAAGGGTCTCTTCCCTGCTTCCTCAGTTCCTCTGACAACGCTAAGGTTGAAGGGTTAGAACAACTAGGCCAAAGCGATCTGAACTTTCTCCTCTCAGGTCAGCCTGCGCTGGTCGATCCTGGCGTGGGGCTGTGTTTACAGACACTTGCCTTTGTTTATAACACAGGAGAGGAGAGTCCCTCTCTTATTTTCTTTCGCTCTCCTGATCTGGCCCTAGCTTTCCACGTAGTGGTGCCCTTAACTTCCATTCTTCCACAGGCTCCTTCCATGTCAGTTATGAGCCTGGGTGTTACATGCGATTATGGTGATGATAGTGTTGTTAAAATGTGTCTAAGGGAGAGACAGAAAGAAACGGACAGAGAACTAGTTCTGTGTACACAATGTGTGTGCCACGGCGCTGATATATGCGAATGTATATGTGAGAGATAGCTAGTTCTCTTTGAACGGCGTGCAAGAATGTGTGTATTGTGTGAATATGCGTTGCGTGTTTGTATAAAAAATAGACGAAAGAGAGACAACACGAGAACATGATAAAACTGAATTTATCTTTCGAGTTTGTAAGTATGTGTATCCTTGTGTCCTTGGGCTTAAAACAGAAGTCTGCTGGATTTAGTGTTATTTTAATAAACTCCAGCTAAATTAAGAATGAACTTTTGGCTTGCGATGGCAGCGCTGTAGTAAATATGCCTCAAAAATCTCTCGTGAAAATTCTGGCTTTCAAGCTGAATCAGGAGCTCCTGATTCCCTGTCACCCCCATTGTGCCCAATCTCAGCCCCACCCCCACCCTTCCTTAGGGGTGGGCTCTTGTGCCCTGTTCTGGGGAATGTTCTGGCTCTCTGCATCTTAATGAGTCCATTGGTCACTCATTCCAACTGAGGGGGGGGATGAGATCAAGTTCAGGTGATTCCCCACCCCCAGCTAATCGACAATTCCCTCTTGCCCCTTCCTTCTCTGTTAATGTTCTCTTTTCTTTTTCAATTTCTCCAAGTGGCTGCCTTGTGGGACAAGCTAGAAGGAATCTATTTTAATTGCTCGGATAATGTGGATGCTGCCATTTTCTTAAAAGCAATCACTCCTGGAGCGAAATCACAAGAGCTCTAGACAGGCCGGAGCCGACAAAAATGTAGGTTTTGACGTTAAAAGCTAAATGGGGAAGCAGGGCGGCAGAAGGTAAATTGATGGTAGATCGGGATGTCAGTGCCCTGGCCCCCAGACCGCCGAATGGAACTGCGTGCTTGATAACCCTGGGAATACGAAATGGGCAGAAGGATTGTTTTTGTTGCTGCTGTTGGTGGTGGTGGTTTGTGTTTGTGTGCGTTTGTGTTTTGCTTCAGCAATACTATCATCTCCTTGGGGGAAAAGTTGGGAAGAATGCTTCCTGGGAGCATTACTGAGAAGGCTCTCGCTCTCTCTCTATCCCCCCCTCCCTCTCTCTCTGTACCTCCAAGCAGTTTATATCTGTCTCTCCTGCAGGGCTAGTGCCAGTCCATCTGTAGGATTTTGTGAACCCCCCAAAAAATATACCAGAGAAAGGGGGGTAACAGAGAAGAATAAGGAAGGAATAAGAACAGAGAGCAAAGGAGAAAAGAGAGGAAAGACGAGAAATTGTGAGGGAAAAGAGGGGAGGAAAGAAAAGGAGAGAAAAGGAAAGAGAAAGGAGAAGAGGGTGAGAGAAAAAAGAGAAAGGAGTGTAGAAAAAGGAATGAAAGAGAGCCTTGCTTGGTTGAGACAAGGTCAGCTGCCAAATGCCAAATGCCCTCTTCAGCCTTCTAGGGCTGCAGCTAATCTTGGGATTTAGAAACGGGGGATATCACTCATTGTCATAAAAATCAGATGGGCCGGAGAAACTACATTTTTTTTTCCAAAACCAGACATCAGGACATCAAGTGTCTCTTCCTGCCTAGTGCATCCATACCTGATGGGTGGTAACAAGGACTGGGGTGTGCCTACCTCCAGTTCTTTGCCATTCACATCTTCGACTAAGAGAAGACGGAAAATAGCCTCCCTTCAAAACACAAGTGCATATACAACTATACACACACCTTTCAGACAGCCGAAGCGCTCCCAAAAAAGAGGCTGTTTCGTTGTCGGGACCTTGGTTCCTTGTTTTAACACTTATTTAGGCTTCCAGGAAGGAAATGCGATGGGGAGAATCTAGGGAGGACACACGAGACGGTTCTCACAGCACAACGTGAAAATGTTTCACAGAGGCAAGCCAAGGTTTTCCCTGGAAGCTTTACTTCTCTCTGAAGCGGGTGGGGAAACGAGGCCGGGTGGTTATTTTCTCATTGAGTTAGCCTGATGCTGAGCGTCCTGTTCAAATATCTACGACCTTTAGTTTTTAAAAGGGATCCGTTCTGGAGTGTGCTCTTTCCACCCCCCACCCTCACCCCGCCCCACCTTACTCATTTCCTTGCCAGGAGCGGTGTTGGGGTGGAAAAGCCAAACAAAACAGGTCAGAAACACGCAACCGCAGAAGGCTCAGCAGTTCAGCCCCGAGATTTGGCAGAATCCTGGCGGTCAGAGCAACAGGCTGCACCGACGGAGGGTAGATATTATCCTCAGCCAAACCTGGCCTGTCACCGTTGGATGTTTTACAGTATCCGAGGGGCCAGTTGCTTTGGCCCACAGCCTCTGTCCTCCTGGAAACAGGGATGTAATCAGCCCGGTTTCTAGATGTAGATGGGGCGGGGGGGGGAGCTAATGGTGCTTCATATGTTATCAGTGTCAAAGGTGGCGTCACCGATAAAGGAGGGGGCTGACGCATCCTGCTGGTAGGCAGACCGGCCGGAGTTCCCTAGCTCTGTACCCTCGGCGCGACCCCGACCCTGGGGCTTTTGCAAAAATTTTCTGAGCTGCTGCAGGGAAATGCAAAGGGGCGTCCCACTTCTCCCTTTACCTGCTTTATCATTAGAATGCCTGACGCTTGGAAATGTCTCTAGGAAAAAGTTACGGCCTCTGAAACTGGGAGAGCAGGAGAGAAGGGCTCCGAGAGAAAAGAGATGAGGTAGAGAGGGTAGAAAAAAGAAAAGAAGAGAGAGAAATTAGGAGAGAGAAATAAATTGGTGGGGAAAGGGGAGAGATGTAGACGAGAGAGGCAGAGAGAACTTTAAATTGTTTCCTCCCTCCCCCCACCCCCCCGCCCACCCAAAATGAAGGGCAAAACGAAGAAAAGAAACAATTGCCACATTGCTACAAAGCTAACCTGCTTTGAGATTCCGGCCACCTTATCATTTCTGCCTAATATGAAATATGTGCTCTTTCAAGAATAGCTCCAATCTCTTTCCATTTCTAATTGGCCAATTACGGCTCAGCTGTTTTAGCTTGCGTGGTATAATGGAGATTAAAGTGCAGTTGTTATCTGAATTACATTCGTACATAAGTTATATAATTTCTTCCCACCCCCACTCCCTGCCCAGTCAAAAATGGTTTCCCTTAGAGAAACCTCCATGGCCTTTTCTCCCAAAGGACCACGTTTCCCTAACACTGCCTCCCCTCACCAACACATACACTTGCCCTTTAAATTCTCCCAGCCTTTAGACCGCTTTGATAATCAGATGGTAGAGCCCTGATTACAAATTTATTCTTGGACACTATATACGTCTTTATATCTGCTATTAGACACATCTGGGAACGATTAAAGCCTGGAGCCTGCTCTGGCCCTCCCCCACTCCTTTTTTCCCTCTATCTTGTAGTGAGACATGTTGACGTCAGATCAGACGGCTCGGAGCCATCCTGCTCTCTAGTTGGGTGTAATCATCGTGGTTGCTTTCCAATTCCATCTAAAGTCCAGTCGGGCCGCTGGAATTCAGGTGTGATGAGACAAGGACTCAAACACACACATTTATATGAACATTAAATCCGGTTATTTTTTTTTAATTGAGGGTAGAGAAGAGGAAGCAGAGCTGGAAAATTTTTAAATATATATGTATATGCGTATTGTGTGTGTGTGTGTGTGTGTGTATTCCAGAGCTTTAAATATTATTTTTTTCTTTCCACTCTCACAACCCAGAGGATAGTGCACAAAGACTTCCCATCTCGAAAATAAACACTCTCCCTCCCGCTCTTAGCGGACTTCTCCCAGTACTTGTCTATCCTCCAGCCCTACTGTTTTCCAAAACAAACAGCAACCGGGGAGTGCGGCTCTCAGCCTCTGAAGCGCAGGGAGCCAGCTAGCGCCTAGAAAGGAGACAGCGTCCAGGCGGCGGGCTTGGCTGCCTCCCGCCCCCGCAGAGCCGCGCCCCAGGCAGCTCCCCCAGTATTCCAGCCAAAGTGTTAGTCGATTGATTTTCTAATGAACTCCCGGGTCCAAGGCGAAGCTGATTGCAGAACAAGAAGTCTCTCGAAGGAATCCTCGGCCAATCCCGGGTGTTCACTTTGCACCTGTTATTAAGTTCTAATGAATCGGGGACTCCTGAACTGGCTTCCCAGACTTTAGAATGGTTTTCTACGAAACCTACTTTTTCCAAGGCAACGTGAGGCAGGCAGGGGATGGGGGTGGGGTGGAAGGAGTTGGATCTAGCCCAGTAAAAGGGCCTGGAGTGCACTGCTGAGTCAATGAGCTGACTAGTTCTGGCAACACGCCCCGCCCCCAAACCCGCAGCTAGCCAGACTAAAGGTCGGCGGTGGTGGTGGTTGGGTTTGCTTGGGTTTTACGTTTGATGACTCTGAGGAGCGAGACTAAGAAGGGCTGAATGATTCAAAGCGGTCGGTTATACATCAGTTTTTACGAATAATCACTGGATTTTGTACTTTGTTTCTTTGGGTTCATGGTAAAAGTAAGGGTGGGGTGGAGGAAGGGATGAGGGAGCTGGTATTTGTTTTAATCTATCAATCATTTCTTAGCACACTCCAAGCTGAGACTCTTTTCACTGCACCACATTATTGCACCACCACCACCCCCATTCACCTGAAAGGTCCTTAAGCGTCATTTGCCATATTTCTATCTCCAAAAGCCTAGCCCAGTAAGTTTTATAGCATTCGGAATCGTAGACTTGGAGCTGTACGGGACATTTAGATGTTATGTAGTCCAACAACTTCATTTGTTATAGATGACGACACTAAGGCCCAGAGAAATTAGATGACTTCGCCAAAGTCACAAAAGTAGTAGAGAGTAGAGCCAGGCAGGCAGTATGCTGTCGTGGAAAGAACGTTGGGATTAGAGTCAGAGGAACAGAGTTCTAATGCCAGCTCTGGTTACCTTGGGTAGATCACTTGAATTATCTGGTTCACAATTTTCCATATCTGGGGGGGGGAAGGGATGGAAAGATAGGTTGGCTACAGTATAGCTATAAATAAGTAAATAAATATCTCCAGCTCGCCCCCTCCCAGTTCTTCCTTTGTTCCAACTCAAGACACCACAACTCCACGGTGTCGCCCTGTAATCTAGAAAGGAAAAAGAACATTTCCTTGCTAAGCCAGGGAAAATGGCACTTTGTGAATTCAGTTTTCTGCCCCAGCCAAGAGGAAAGGAAACTTTGAGCTTTGTGGCTTGGGGGGAGAGAGGGTAGGGGCCTTGGGGGAAGCTGGGAGGAGTAGCTGGGGGAGGGGGAGAAAGAGAAACAAGTCTGTAACATTTAACCAACACTATCGCAAGTTATCTGTAAGATTCTTGGGCCCTCAGTTGCCTTCTGGGCCGTGTGGTATCAATCCCAAGCGCTCCATCTCAAGAATATTCAGTCCTAAATGGCCCACAACCCTCAGTCAGGTCTTTGTGGTGTCTATGCAGGAGACTAAATTAATTATGCACATTTTCAGGTCAAATCCCACTTCCTGCCTTAAATGTGTTTAGATGTTGGAAGTAAAAGCATAGTTTCTTGGCTCGAATTATCCAGATAATCTCATCGATTTCTATAAAATACAAACCAAGTGGCCAGTTCGAGTGTATATTTTATAAGGAAAAAAAGGAAGTGCTTACCTCCCAGGTAAACCACCTCTGTTAGGAAACTCTAGTCTACAATTGACGTCAAAACCGCTCGTCCCAGAAGGCTTTTTTTTTTAATGTAAAACTAACCACGTGCGACCGGATGTCTCTGTATGACAGGACCCGAGGGTTTAAAAATATCTGTCTTTGTTGTAGCGCCAAATCATCTTTCAATCCAGTTGCGGTGAATAAGAAATTAG